TGATAAAAAATAAAATTAAAAGATTTTTAAAATTAAAATTGAAGTTTAAAAAGATTCAAAAAATATTAAAATTAAAATGGTAATAATGGAAATGATATCATAAAATCTTTTAACACGATTACACGATCATGATTATCATTATTTAATAAACGGTTAATCATGTGATTATCATATGATATGGGTGTGATAATCATGTGATTATCACACAATTATCACATTATCGCTTATATCAACATGATTTGGTGTGATTTTGGTGTGATATGGGTGTGATAACCATGTGATTATCACACAATTATCACATTATCGTTTATATCAACATGATTTAGTGTTATTTGGGTGTGATATGGGTGTGATAATCGTGTGATTCTCACACAATTATCATAAGGATTCCCCTCGGCTAGGGTTAACTTAAAAAATCGACTACCGATTTGGTGTGATATGAGTGTGATAATCATGTGATATCACTATCATAACAGCGCAGTCGATTTGATCATGATTTCGATCGGTTAGGGTTAGACAATCACACATTTATCACAACGATTACTCATGGTTTCGATAGGTTATGGCTACACTTGATTGTTCATGGTTTCGATAGATTATGGTTACACAATCACACAATTATCACAAGGGGAAAGAAGATAGTGGAAACGAACGTGCAGGAAAAAAAGGGATAATTATGACTAATTAAAATAAAATAAAAATTACTTAATTACATTACTGCCCTTATTAATTTATTTATATTTAATATAAGTTAATTTATTAATTAAAAAAGTTTGAGGTTATTAGGTTGTTTTTGCGTTCTCGTAAATCATAGAGGTTCTCGTTTGAACCTCCACATATATATATATATATATAGAGAGAGAGAGAGAGAGAGAGAGAGCGAAAGAGATGTTGGTTATTATACAACCCTTGACATTTGTGCAACCAATACAACCTAATCTCAACCGTCCATTTCATTTGATTAATATATGATTTCATAGAAGTTTTAATTGTTTTCTAATATAAAGTATTGATCATAATTAATGAACCATATCCATCTTCCATAAATATTCAAATCATAATAAATAAACTCTCATCATTTCGATAAATATCTCAATTTATTGGGTTGCATTGGTTGTACAAATGCAATAGGTTGTATTTGAAACAATATATATATATATATATATATATATATATGTGTGTGTGTGTGTGTGTGTGTTTGCTTTAATTAGTCAAAAAAATAGATAATTTCAATATTTTTTAATTTTTAAAGAAAAATTTAACATTAATGTTAGAACAAATATTTCTTAAATCTCTAAAATTTCTAAAATAATATCGTTATTAAAGCTGTTTTAAAAAACTTCTCTTTATTACAATACTTTTTCATATTTGAACTTTAATTTTTCAAGTTCATTTCTAAATCTATAAGCTACCTTTTCCACCATTATTCCTTTTTTGTCTTTAATTTATTAAATAATTTTATTAAAATATTAATGTAAATTTCAAATAATATATATTAATTTCGTTTTTATGTTTTTAAATTGATAAAATTGTAATAAACTATGTAAATATATTTAATGTGTTAATATTTATTGGTACTTCTTCAATATAAATGAATGTGTATTTATAGAATAATTTTTAACATATTAATCTATTCAATGAAAACATGAATTTGATAATAGTGGACCCTAAAATATTTGAAAATTTATGAAAAAACTTAAAGAAATATTTTTGTTATACTAAGAATAAATTCATATTTTTTGGTTATTGAATTGACGTTAATGTAGCACGAAAAAATTAACAAAAAATTAGCTTATTGTTGATGCTCTAAGTGACTATAAACACCTGCTATAAAGCCAATTGGATCGAACCATAACCAATTAAAAGTCATGTTACAATCGAGATGGATGAGTCTCAACCTATGGAATTTGAGTTCCACCACCATCGATAAACCACACCACCACAACTTTCCTCTAATGAGCAAATATAATCAACACTATATGACCTACATTCCTTAATTGTATATGTAATAAAATTAACAGTTAAGGAAAGATAAACAACATAGTATTATTGTACCACCGATGTTGAATTCTATAGTGAAAAAGGAAAAAAGTATGTTACTTGTCATATTCACTTATTAAAGGAGCGTTGGGACGTATATTTTTTACGGTCACTCTTTGCTTAAACATGAATAGGCCAAATCCACATATATGAAGCTTCTATTAATCGAGTAATTCATTATTATGGATCTAATATAAAAGGGACCCATACGTTAAAATTTGTTATTATTCAACAAGCTCACGTAATTTGGAATTATATTTGTTCGATGAACTTAGGGGTCGTTTGGTTTGCGAAATTCGAAAGAATTTGATGGAATTGGAATGACAAATTCCTTTGTTTGGTTCATTTCTTGAAAGAATGAAATCCTTCAAATTCCATTGAATTCTACAAATTAATGAATGCATCATTCCTTGGCAATAATAGAAAGAATTGAATTATATCACCACCCACCACGACCATGCTACTATTGTTCATCATGCCCCACCCCTAACCCCCCCCCCCCACCACCACACCACTATTGTCGTCACCACCCACCCTACCCCACCACTAACCACCATGCCACTATTGTTGCCATCACACCCACCCACCCCCCGATCACTCACTACACATCTCTATTACGACCATGCTACTACCATTACTGTCACGTCTCTAACCTAACCCCCATCACCACGCCATTATTGTCGTTGTCACAACTGCTACTCACCCCCACCCCACTCCACCCTACTCCAACCCATCACTAACCACCATCTCACCACTGTCGTCGTCACAGCTACCATCCATCCCCACCACCATGTCCCGCCGCGCACCCCACCCCTACACCACTATTGTCGCCTTCACAACCGCCACTGACCCACACCCCACCCTACCCCAACCCACCACTAAACACCATTATTGTTGTCATCATACACACCCACTCTAGGCCTCAGCCACCCTGACCACTATCATCGTCACAACTATCACCCCGGCACCTACCCCTACCTGCCCCCACTGTCTCGCCTGCCCCGCCTTACCCTACTCCAACCCACCAGTAACCATCTCCAACCCACCACTAACCATCATCCCACCACTGTAATCGTCACAACTACCACCCTACCACCTACTTCCACACTTTGGCACAACTGCCTCGCCCTACCCTGTCTGCCCCCGATAACCCCTACATATATAGAGCAGGGGTGGGGAAGGAATGATGGGGTAGGGTTTGGGTAGGGGTGGGGTGGAGTGATAGCTATGACGACAACAGTAGTGACATGGTGGTTGGTAGGGTGTGGGCGGGGCGATAGGTGGGATAGTCCAAACAAAGACCATTATTCCAATTTTATTGAGAGATTTCATT